TGATGACCGCCACTCAATCCACCTAAGTGATGGTGAAAGTGGGGAGGATGATGTTTTCCAGACTCCGCCGCTGGTGTTGGATGAGGGTGTGGGGATGGAGGTACCGCATGTGCAGCGTTCAACCACAGGCCAAATCAACACACGGGGGTCGCCGAAGGATCTTGCAACCTTGTGGGAGCCCTAACTCCGAGGCAAAGGGAGGATGTTATAGCGATTGGCCTTGGTGCGTTGTTGGGGTTTAAGATTACTGAGGTACCGCTCGCGTTGGGGCATTGGGTGGTCACCAATTTTGACCAGGCTAAGAAGAGGATCAACTTGGGGAATGCGCGGTACATTCCTGTCACAGAGGAGGATGTTGCTGCCATCTTTGGCCTGCCGTGTGGACCAATACCGATATCTGAACGGGATAGCCAGGCTGTTAGCCCGGAGTTGCGGGAGTGGAGGGACGTGGTGAAGCAACGGAAGGGGAGGATTACAGTTAAGGCGATATGTGCGCTGTTGGAATTAGGCGGCAGTGGCTCGTGGTTCAAAATACATTTTAGCGTTGTAGTTATGACCACCCTGGTTGCGAGCACGCCGAATGGCTATGCAAACCAGAAAACTGTCCACATGCTAAGTAGTGTGGACACGATTAAGGATCTTGACTGGTGTGGGTACTTGATCCGTTCGTTGGTTACTACCCATCGGAGTTGGACCGAGGTTCCCAATCGCAAATTCACTGGCCCGCTTCTATTCCTAACGGTAAGTGTTCATGGGGTTGGTCCCTTAGCGTATGTGTGTTTTACCTTTGCTAATAATGTTGTCTATGTCTTGTTTTCAGCTTCTGTATTTGGATAGGGTTGTGGTGGGTGTGCGCGAGGTCTCAAGGACGATTCCACTGGTGGCGGGGTGGACCACAGAGTCCATCAAGGCACGTGTGCAGGTCGAGCTTAATTCTGGGGGGTTCGGCAAGGGGGTGGTGGATGCTCCGTTTAGTGCGTCCAACCCTGGTGATCCTCTTTGTGTGTGTAATTCTGGTGCACTATTACTCGGAGCCGGGGAGAACCACGCCAGGGGAATGCTCGCGCCGAGAACATGGTATGTTTTTCGATGGTTCCCTATTTTCCAATCAGTTTGTAATCTTCATGTGTAACATTAGTTGTGTCTGTGAGGTGGGGGTCGTGTGGGGTGGGTGGTGCAGGGGTTTGTCCAACAGTTTGCAGGTATTACCGATGAGTTGCTTAAGCTGACTTCACGAGTCGTCGACCTGGTCGCCCAGCACCCCAATGAACCGCAAGGAGATTGCAATTTCCGGAAGGTGGTGGACGCAGTCAAACAGTGGGAGGCTATTGTGAATATGCCGGGCAAGGCAACTGATCCGTCTCCTCAACCGCCCGCCCTTGTAACAGGTGACGAAGGGCCTTTGGTGTATGATGCAGACTTCATAAGGGAGCTGGACGAGGCCGAGTTGGCTGCGACCGGGACCTACGGTGTGTCTGATGTGCCGAGCTTTAGCTTAGGGCTTACGCAAGAGTTTGCAAGGAATAAGCGGTCAGGCAGCATGGGCCAACAACCGGACACTGCTGCACCACTTCGACAGGTATACTAATGCATTTGTCTTTGCTAGTGCAATTTTCATATGTTAACTTGAGCCAACATTTGCAGGAACCAAGTACCGCACGTATTACATCACATCCTGCGGCACTGTGCACAGCTCCAGTGGACGTGCCAAAGCCCAAAGAACAGGAGCGAGTTGTTCAATAGGGTCAGTTGGCGGGGATTTACTTTAGCACCACGTTTGGGTACCCGTCTACGCCACTGCCGCACGTGTGCGTTCTGTGGATGTGGATTTTTAGTTGTCCCACGGGGGTCGGTGAGTGGCTTTTATGCATCCGAGCTTGGTTTTGCGTTCATAAATTGATTGTGTTTGATATCTGTGTTTGGGCCCCCTTTTGATACCGATTCATTATGGTTTTTATCTCGTAGCGATGAGGTGTTATTTCAATATGCTGATCGAATGGTAAAGTGGGCACAAATCCAAACCCTTAGGGAGGGGTCGAATGTCTCCAAGATTGTTGTGGATGCCTGGTGCTATGTCCTCAATGCTCGGGAGAAGGTGACCACAACTGGTGGTGTGACCCGGCTGTTTCTACCCACCAGCACGACGGTACGCGACTGTCTGCACACCAGCAAATTACTCTATATACCATAGTTTCCAACCATTTTTTACGCGGAAACTAGGGGGTGTTGGGGTGCGCTATGTGCTTTAAGGCCTTCTAACTAGCAATTGTAATATGCAGATTGGGACTGTTGTTGCGACATCAGCTAGTGAAGATTCGAGGATCTCTTGGTTTGGGAACCGCATGGACGCGGAGTTGCAGCGAATGGGCCGCGGGGAGACTGCTGACATAGATCTGGTGACGTACCTTGCACTATAATTTAATTGCAACATCTACCCTCTATTGACTAATACTCTTTTTCTGGAATGTCGATGCAGTTTATTTTCCCAATTTTCGACAAGGGAACGTATTACATGATGGCTATCAGTTGCAAGCTTCCCCGATTTGACATCATTAACAGTTCGTCTGCGCGGAAGACTAATAAAGAGATGTATGGGGGGGCCGAGGAGCTGGTATGGGTATTTAAATAGATGGAACACACAGTTATGCTAGTATTAGTTGCGTGTTTAATTACTTGCCTTTTATTCTCCATTGTTTTTACACCGTTTGGCCATCGGAATAGGATTTTAATACTATAAAAACGTGCTTTTGCGCTTCAATATGTTCTACCTTAGACCCATAAGTGGTTTACCCATTCATCGTATTGCACTAGCTAATGTTGAACACTTCTGGTTTGCTGTTACGTTTGTCTGATTTTAGTTTTACTATCCATGGCTTGTTGCGCTAGATAGTTTAGAACACTACTCTTTTGCTGTTAGGAGAGTCTGTTTTATGGTGCTAAAGCCATAGTAGTATATCACCATTGCTTTTGGCATCTATTCAGCATCATACTAGTTTTCATTAGTTATGTGGGGAATTGCATGCTCTGTATTCCCTTTATTCATTTGGCATTAGCTACTTTTACCCAGTGGGTTTATGGCCTGTTAAGCTGGCCCAATTCCTATGTATATTGGCAGCATAGTATTCTCTTTTATGTTGCACTGAACTATTTGCAAAGTGACGTGCCTATTTAAGTTTAACAAAATGGTTTACACACTTCGAATCTTAAATTGTTATCATTATTATTAATAATGAGGTTGGGTGCAGATGATGTGCCTGGGTGCTTACTTGGATTCCAAGCAGCAAGGGCTTCGTGCTGCACGCCTACAAATGTTGAAACCGAAGAGGATGCAGATGGCGTGGAGGGATACCACGTCAACGTTGGATGCTGGGATATTCACGATGCGCCATATGGAGTCATACGTTGGGCAGGGGTGTGCGGGGTGGGATATTGGTCTGCAACGGGGGAATGCCATGCAGCTCCTCAACTTACGCAAGCGCTACATGCATAATATCTTGCTCAGTGTGGTTAACACCCATACAAACAGTGTTGCAGCGCGCATCGTGGCCTTCGAAAGTAAAAGGTTGGTACAGTTGCATCAGTGATCAAGCTGTGGTGCGAGCATCGAATAAATTTAGATAGTGGGTAAACCTCGACTCTGGTGGGTTTTTTGGGTGGCACAGCAGTTCTTGGGTTCAATTATGTTTTTAGGATGTGGTGGTCAGTGAATAATTAATTATTAATGGGTACAATTATCATTTAGTCGGTGGTAGTCAGTGAATACTTAGTTTTTTACTACGGTTGGACAGTGCATATAAGCTTTTCATCCAATTGGGCGTTTACATGTTTTCTCGGTGTTTACTTATTCGTGTATGGGGTTCTGATATTCAGCTAAGACACTTGTGAAACCAACTCGCCTCCACTTGGGGATAGAACCAATATTGTTTGCCACTGTCTCAAACTCATGCCGCCAAACTCATTGCATTAATACCAGGGATTGGGTCTATTCGTTGTATGGGAACGTGCATGCATTGTCCTTCGTCAACGAATCAACATACATTTTTGGACTAGTAGTTTGCACACCATGTTTTTATTTGACACGTATAATTGTCATTGTACTCCTCTTTAATATTAGTTTTTATTTTAAAAATTCAATAATTTGTAGCAACAGTAAAAGGGGCTTTCAAAACCAGTGGTACTGGGATACATTGAATGAATTACTAAGTGACAAAGTAAAAGGGAATAAAACAAACTAGTAGCATTGTAGTAGCGTATTGTATTAAAAAAATAAAAGGGAAAGGAACTAGTTTAAACAAACTGCATAATTTCTGGCAAGTTACTTTGACGGGCAACTACGGGCGTTATAACGGGCATATTTACCACAAATACCGCACTTTCGTCCAATTTTGACATTTTTCTCGATGGCTAGCTCCCTGTTGCTTTTAATACGTTTTCCAGTGCCTTTGTTTTTCGCTTGGGGGGTGCTTGGATTGTTATGGATTGTGGTGGCTCAACACCGCATAATGCCTGTATCGCAGCACAGTTACCCCTAACAGGGGTTGTTGTTAGCCCGTCACTACCAAATTCTTCTGTAAGACCCTTCAGTACCGACCAGACTGGCGCACGTGTGTATCTCAGCCCACAGTTGGGTTGCTACGGGGGTTGGCCTTTCACCGTTTGACGGCAGGCCTTTGCATGTACCGCACGTAAGATGTTTGCACCATCGGGTCGAAATGTATTCGGAAGGTAACTGTTCCAACTGTGCACCCCGGAAAACCACAAACATATATCGACAGACCAAGCCCATTCTTCGAAACAAGTTGCAGTTGCATGTTGCTCCTAGACCACCCACCTTGTAGTGCACTGTGGAAATAATGTTCCCCTCTCCTTTAATGTCGTAATGAGTGATATCCCCCTCTTGGTGTACACCGGCCACGAAACAATCAAAACATACTGCTTCTATTTCTTTCTATAGCTCATAAAAAATAGTGATCGTGAATACTCGTGCAATATGACGCTCGAGTGCTAATGGCGTTTTAAACTCCGGCAGGTAACCCTCGCACTGTGCGTTCAATTTATCTTGCCAGTAGCGCTGCGTCCCCAACGCGCTTTCGAATTGCATGTAGAACTCTACCAAACTAAAATGGGGTCGTGAGAATTTACCGTATACACCGTTCTCTGCTTCTGACCATGATGTTGTTCGCAACAACCCACTCATGGGCAAATCTGGAAAAAAAAAAAAGCTGGGATCCAACTCTCCCTTTCACCATATATTTTGCAAAACCACCTATGGTTTGATAGCTTGTATTCATCCATTAGTAGGTGCCATTGCGCTTCAAACTCAACACGACAGATTCCTTCGTTCCATACGATATTGTTTAGTTTTTTGCGAAACTCTGTGTCCTTAGCTAGTTCATTCCCAAGCTTTTCATTGACCTTTGTCATGATGTGCCACATACAGTAGCGATGGCGGCAGTTTGGTAACACTTGTTGGATAGCAATTCGCATAGCTAGGTCTTGGTCTGTCACAACGCACAATGGGCTCTTGCCCATTGCACATGAAAATTTCTCCAACAGCCAGCTGTATGACTCAACGTCTTCTTTAGTCAGCAAACCTGCCCCAAAAGTGATGCATCGTTTGTGGTTGTCCACACCGGTGAACGGCACAAACACCATACTGTACCTGCACAATAATAATGGATGCGTTATACTTTTCACAGTTCTATTGCACCACCCAATTAGCCACAAACGGTCCACGTGTGTCCAATTAGCCAGATCTATTGCACCACCCACATACATGCGCTAACAACAACTCATCCTCAAATACCGTTTTTTCCCAAGGAATGGTAAAATTAGTTAAGGGGAAGTAAGAAAGCAACGTACAGTTGTGTTATTTCTCCACTAATACCATCCTAGTTGATTGGGAATGTGTAAAGTATGTGTTCATTTTGTTTAGTCAAAAAACAAAACAAAACAAAAAAAAAAAAAAAAACAGCAAAAAAAAAAAAAAAAAACAAAACTGGCAGTGACGAATTAAAACAGCAATCTTAATTGGTCTCACATGCATGCGCGTACTCTGAATGATGAGGATGCACTGGTAAAGATGCTTCTAAACAAGGTACACATGCATCAACACAACAACCGATACACTTTCTTACCGAGTGATCAGTCACAACATATATAATAATCTAAGTGCAACCCCATACCTGTTTGTTCCATAGGTTGCGTCGAAGGAAATATTATCGTCGTAGCAAGAGAATGTCCGCCTACCGAGGGGGTCAGCCCAGAACAGACGTGATAGTCGGTTTTCCTCATCCAGGTGGTAATCAAAAAAGAATTCGGTGCAGACTTCTTTCTTGGCTTTGAACGTTGCTATAATCATCTCGCCATCGGCTTTGTCAACGTACGATTGGACGTCTCGTTTAAAATTGTGAAATTCCACATCCGTTGCACCGACATTTGTATATGATCCGGTTGCTTCCTTGCAAAATCGCAGCCCTGTTGAAGCACCAATGTTAGCTTTCAAACAATTGCCTAAAAAAGTTTGCTGGACCACATTGAGTCGTCGGTTAATCCGCATAAACACTTTAGATGACTCCGAACACAGCTTGTGGGTGTGTTCCTCAATGAAAATGGTCACAACGAATTCCCCAGGGCCATTTTTCTTAAACCCGATCCTTGCTCCACAATTAATTCTATTAGAGAGTCGGTGGCGGCGCTCCCGCTTATCTCCAACATCTGCACCCCCTTCGTGGACACGATGTATCCTACCACCGCCTTGAACCCTTGTCGGGTGCAGACCAAATACCGCGAGTAGACTGCTCCGGCTCGATCGCGCTTCACGGAGCTGCAACGAACATCAAACCCAACGATTCGGGCGTAGTTCATGTAGCATTGGATACCTTCGTGTAGTGTTTTAAATACACGTCCTGCTACTGGCAGCACTGTAGCATCCACGGGGGGGGGGGGGGGGGGGGGGCATGTTCTTTTTTTTTTTTGCATTAGTGTGGTATGACGTGTGTATTGGTCTGGTTTGGTGTGTACGTTAAGTCTTTCAGGCGTGTGCGTGAGTTTGTTTTCATTTTGGCTGGTGCAAGTTTATTGGAAATACACAACGAACAAGCCCAAGTACAAGAATTATCTTTTTGTATAGACGTTTGCATTTTCAAGTGGATAGAAAGTGCATAGTAGAGATCGTATTGTGCATTTTGTTTGTTTTTTTTTTTTTTTGAATTTGCTGTGTAGGTGTGTGCAGGAATTTGTGGTGTCGTGTGCGTTTGTCTGGTCGTCTGTGCAAACAACATTGTGGTGTGTGCGTAACACTCCTTTGTGCACGATTTTTTTTGTTGTACAGTTCTCACCAAAAAAATAATTACTACTTATTACCATTAATATTCTCTCTATTATTATGTTAAAAATTTCTATTTAATTCTAACCAAAATTAACACACTATTAGAATTACTTTTTAACCCTTCTGATTATAATATGTCCTTAATTACTTCATATTTCTCATTCAATCCCAACCATCAATTAGGAATGTATTAATAGATGGGATGAGATCTCATGATCTCATTTAACATGGGGGTCTCATGGGATCCGCATATATATATATATAGTACTACTTTTAGTATTAATATAAAGAAACACACACACACACACACACACACACACACACACACACACACACACACACACACACACACACACACACATATATATATATATATATATATATATATATATATATATATATATATATATATATATATATATATATATATATATACATACAAAGGTTATATACGGGGTGGGGGTAGGGTGGGGGAGGGGGGCACCTACCCCCCCCCCCCCTCCCCCTTTGGCTCCGTCCATGGTGTCCACCTTGGTGGAGGAGGGGGGGGGGGCACCTACCCCACTGTCCCCCTTTTGGCTCCGTCCATGGTGTCCACCTTGCAAGGTAGATATGGTTCTATGTTCATAATTATAAAACTCTATGTTCATAATTTTTGAACTTCATATTCACAATTATTGAACTCTATATTCACAATTACAGAGCTCTATGTTTATAATTATAGAACTCTATGTTCATAATTTTTTAACTTTATATTCACAATTATGACAGTTTTGGAAATGTATCCTCCTTGCAAGGTGGACACGGTTCCACAACATAATTTGCCAATAATCTGGGATTCAAATAAGAAATGTGGACTAGATTAAAGAGGGATGGGCTTTGATGATTTTGTGAATTTAAATGCTTGGGCCTCTTATATTTTGAAGTTTTTTTTTTTTTGTTTAGCTTGGGCTATAGATGACTAAAAGGCAATTTATATCCTGCACCACGGCGCGCGTTGCAGTATGCGCCTAGATGCAAAACGACGTCATTTCAATTTTTTTTTTTTTTTTTTTGAAATTTTGCTACCCAGTGTTTGGCAGTTAATTTTCCTTTAAAAAAATCTCATGTTCAAAAATGTATATAATGTTATACTAGAATACACATAATTGTATACATGAATATATATAATTATATAACAAAATACATATACTCTTTTTTAAAAGATAATACACATAATCTAACATAATACATAATAAACATAAACTTTTAACATAATACGCAAAAATTCCTGATTCGGATGTACATAATTGTATAAAAAAAATGTACATAATTGTATAAAAATGTACATAATAAAAAATATACATAATTGTATAAACAAATATACATAGTCATGTCAACTTCCTACTGCGCCTCCCAAAACGACGTCGTTTTGGGAGGCGCTGTGGTGCAGTGTATAACGATTGTGACAAAAATCTGTGTTACATTTCGGTTAAGTGGTTTTGCGTCTCCCAAAACGACATCGTTTTATTTAATGAAAAGAAACGCCATCTATTTCGCATCGTTCCGCGCCATTCCGCAAAAAGAAACTGTGTTATTCAATTTCATTTTGTATACATTGTAGTCAGCGGCGGATCCAGAAAATCATTTGAGTGGGGGCGAACATAAATGACGTTAGAAATTTCAATGACAAAATATCAAACCACCATAATAAGGTTAAAATACAAAATACATTATAAATTACAATATATTTGCAAGAAAATATGAAACATAATCAATTAGATAAAATAATTTGAATAACAATATATTCATAAATACTTTTAAATTTTAATTTCTTTTAGTTAGATCGATTTTTCTAAATTAATTCGGATACAATAAAGTATATTATAAACTTGTATACTACATTAATTAAATGATTTATAAAAACTAGACTAAAAGGGCATTTCATCAAAAGTAGACTGAAAATATTTAATTTATATTGTGAAGAAATGAAAGAGAGAAGATAATTAAAAGTGTTACTAATGAGATTTGAACCCATGACATAAGCCTTTTAAAACATAAAATATAGAATTCAACTAACTACGCTACTTAAACTATTAATATTTTCAACATAAATATTTATTTTATATAACATTTCATTCTATATATGTATACATATATACATACATATATATATAAAGGGGTGGGGTGGGGGGAGTCGGGGCAGCTGCCCCCACTGCCCCCACACTGGGTCCGCCTATGATTGTAGTTTCATTTCGATATAACTACAATTTCATTTCAATATAACTACAGTTTCATTCAATATTATAACACCAAAATATGTGAAAATGTTATTTAATTTTACTAGTATTTGCACCCGTGCGATGCACGGAATAGATTTGTTGTAATATATTAAGAAAATATAAATCGATATATAATTATTTAAATTAGAACATCAAATATTATATAGTCAATTAAAGATATAATTTGAATCGTTTATATAATTTGATGTTATCATTGCTTGAATTTGTGCAAATAACTGCTCAAATTAATAGCTAATGTCCAGATGTACGCATGCGGTCCTATAATTTTAAAGATTTTATTTATCATTGTTTAGTATTTTCATACATTAGGCAAATGTGCTCGTTCTCTAACAACTCAGTTATATAAATGAATTGTTATCCTTATTCATTTGTATGGAAGATATATCTTTTTGTCTAGATATATAGCAATTTTTTCATTTAAAAATAAATAAATATCACCAATTATATTTACACATTATTGAAACATCTTTGTAGACGACATTGGTAGTGACAACACAATCTTGTTCATTTTCGTCTAGAGCTAACATCTTCTCCATCAGGACGGGTTACTTCGGTGAAAATATATAATGGTAGAATATCACTCAATTAGTTATCCTTTTATCTTTTCAGTCAATTCGTAATATCAGATTCATTTTCAGCCAATTATTCTTTTTTATTTTCAGTCAATTAGTCAATTAGAATATCAAATGCAGTGATATTTTTACCTAACTTTCGTTCCATTTTTAATTGATGATGTAGATATTATTATTGAAATATTTCCGTTCCATTTTTAATTTACCTTTATTATTGTTTAAAATATGCATTTACTATTGATAATGTAGAATATTATTATTGGAATATTTTCCTCCAATTTTTAATTTTCATTTCATTTTTAATTAAAATGCAATGATTAGATGAAGATACTTTGGACTTCTCAATACTTGCCCACATTGATTTTTTTTTTTTTTTGGTAAACCTAGGGTTTCCACCGTCGGACACAGTGACTAATCCCCTCGCTAAATTATAAGCACCTCTTTTGGGTGGGACAGCTGGCTTAGAGATCTAAGGCTGCTCCATTCCCAAATCCAATGATGAACCCTTAAAGGCTCCTCTATATAAGAAGTACAAACATAATTGTTTGCCCATCGATGAGGCGAGTATTGAGAAGTCAAAAGGTTCTTATTTAAAAAACCTTAGAGGCGCCGGGTTGGGAAAGGCTGCTCCATTCTCAAGCCTATGTGGTCTAAGGTTGAGAAAGTTTATATGAACAGATACTACATGTAACACGGTGAATCGAATAGTTATGATGTGGGACTGTGTCCACTTTGCAATGTGGACACAGTTCTATGTTCATAATTACTGAACTATATGTTTATAATTATAAAGCTAAATATTCATAATCTTTGAACTTCATATTCATAATTATTGAACTCTATATTCACAACTACAAAACTCTATGTTCACAATTACTAAACTATATGTTCATAATTATAAAGTTATATATTCATAATTTTTAAACTTCATATTCAGAATTATTGAATCTCTATATTCATAATTACATAACTATATATTCATAATTATGTTCACAACACTATGTTCATAATTTTAGAACTATATATTCATAATTTTTGAACTATATATTCATAATTATGAGCAATTTTAAAATCGTGTCTACCTTGCTAGGTGAAGACGATTCCACGGCATAATTTGACATGTCAATAGTACTCAAAAAATAAAATATTTGCCTTTGGACTTCTCAATACTTGTCCACATTGATGGACAAACAATTATATTTGTAAGAGGAGCATTGCTCCTCTTATATAGAGGAGCTCAAGAGCTCCTTTTCCAAACATTTTTAATGTGGGATCAAAATGATCCAACATCATTTACAAAGGGGGGCCCGTGGCTCCTTTTTGTCTTCTTCTTATTTTTTGTTTTAATTTTAATTTTATTTTGTATATCGTTTTGTTTGAGTAGTGATGATGATGATGATGATGATGATGGTGATGGTGATGGTGATGGTGATGGTGATGGTGATGGTGATGGTGATGATGATGATGATGATTATTATTATTATTATTATTATTTGAAAGAAAAGGAGGGTTGAAACCCAGGTCAATATCTGACCCTTACAGTATTATTACTACCCAAAATACCAAGTTCATCTTGACGGAGGTATCTTTGCATGTTTTCCGTAGCATGATCATAAAAGCATTCCTTTCTTGCATTGTCGAAAGCCAGACTGGCAATAAGATCGGCTACTCTATTATTATTATTATTTTTTTTTTATATATATATTTATTATTATTATTATTATTCTTATTATTATTATTATTATTATTGTTGTT